GAAGGAGCAAGAAAACTCAGCGACTCGACCCCCAGAGGCAAAGGCCCAAAGGAAAGAGCCAACGAAAAAACACACCGGAACCGAAGGGGCACTACCAACCGAGGAGAAGACAGAGCACGCTGACCAGAGACCAGGATGGTGCAAGCGGCGCACGAACAGGCCGGAGGTGAAACGACGCACAAGACAGCTGACTAACGGTGCAGAAGCAACACCAAGACCGAAAGCAAGCTGAAGCGGCTCCGCCCGCGCCGCACGAAAAGAGGCGACAGTATGTGGCAAGACGACGGCCCCCAACCCCCACCAGAAAACCAAGCTGAGAGTAAACCAAGCTAACAAGAGTAACCACCTAAGAAGGGACAGGAAAAGGAAGGACCACCAAAATACCCCATACTGTTGCCAAGAGAAGCACGCAGGTGGGACACCTACCACGAAGCCACCCGACCACCAACCGGAGGCGAGACCGCGAGGCAGAACATAAGCAGCCCCGACAAGGCCCCTCCGAGCTCAGGAAAAAGGCGGAGCTGCGGGAAGATCTCGGGCGCGACCACCGAAACCCAGGTGGCACAAGGAGATGAAACGTCTGCCGAACAGAAAAACTCCCCAAAGCATGCAAGCCCGCCAGGAGTTCAGAAACGACGGGTCCGACGCTAGACATCGCAAGACCCCCAAAAAAAAACAACCGGCAGGGCAAGCTAGGAAACCAAAGAAGGCGGAAGGGTCGCCGCCAGAACAGTAGCCGAACCAAGGGGTACGAACAACTGCAATAGACCGAGACAAAGAAGCACATCACAGGACACAGGCTGACCAACGCCTAAGAACACACGCAGAACATCCCTGCTGCAGAGGAGGCAGGAAGAAAGAGCAGAAGGACAAAAACCCCAGGAGAACAACCAGGGGTGGACAATCAGGCAGGGACAGAAAAAACCCCACGCAATCCCCAGGCACAAAACGGCAGCAAAGTGCCACACCACAACCAGACACAGGAACAAGGACACGCCACCGTGAAACACGGTACCAATGCACACGTGCAGCAGCAGCAACAGGCACCACTGCAACATGCAACATGTAAATAGCAACTCCCTTCTGCAAAGGCAGAGAACGGAGCAGGCAGACCCCAGACAGGACCAACGGAGACATGACAAAACCCTGCAGGCCCAGAAACCTACACCAGGCGACCGACGGCGGAGAAACCCCGCTCGATACCCGCTGGATGAGGTACTGGGAGCTCTTTTACACCTGAAGCCCGGCCCAAGGCCAGGCTAGACCGGCCAGAGGGTGGCCCACCAGGCAGCTGCTAGGAGCAGTCCACCGGCCCACATACCCCCACAACCAGGACGGGCCGGAACTGCCATACAAAAACAGGCTAGTGCGCCATGGAAGTCCACGGACGAACCAGCAAGAAGGCTTATGCTCGCAAGTAGGGCGTGTAACAAGCACAGACCTCAGATGGTAATACAGTGTTCCCCAAATGTGCCAATAGCACCACTGCACTCCACTGGTACTATCCCGCAAGTTCTGCCAGATAGGCGGGACCCAAGAGCCAGAGCTCAAAACCTGCAAGCACAGCCAGGAGCCTTACCAGGTGAGTACAGAACCAACCCTGCAACCCCCACACCTCACAACATTAAAAAGGAGGGTCCCCTGAATGACTCCAGCATGGGTTGGACATCCACATGAGGGGGACAGGAAGGGTTGAAAAAAGGGACAGTCACTGATGTGCGAACGGTCTCAGTCGCACAAAAATATACCTAAATAAAAACAGGTATATAAACAACACCGCATCCAGCGCCCGGCCAAAAGACGCCAGACCGCAGAAACTCGCCTGGCGAATGGTGGCACGAACTTGACACGACTCAACTGTGCCCAGAAGAACCTGGGAGCACCGCCAGGTGAAGACGCCAGAGCCGGACCCTGCCGGATCCGCAGGAGAGCAGGGAGAGGCAAAGGAGGCGGTCCACGCCCATGACACAGGGAAAACTGCGGTGTCCTCCCCACAACTGGGAACCAGGACACCCCCGGCGCGAAGGGGCACATACCGCAGCCACGGAGAAGAACGAGAGGCGAAGCACTGTAGCAAAAAGGGCGCAAAACACCAGCACTGAAACACCGCCCAGACCAAAACAAACTCCACGGCGCATGCGCATAACACGCTGGCCAAACCGCACACCCTCCCTGCGGGAAGGCGCCAGCCAGGACTACTGCACGAGAAAAGTAGCCAAAAGAGGAAGCAGGAACAATAAAACTGGCCAGAGAAGCAAAGAGCCCAAAAAGGAACCCAACCGGGCGACAAGCAGCCCAACCGGGCGACAAGCAGCCCAACCGGGCGACAAGCAGCCCAACAGGGCGACAAGCAGCCCAACAGGGCGACAAGCAGCCCAACAGGGCGACAAGCAGCCCAACAGGGCGACAAGCAGCCCAACAGGGCGACAAGCAGCCCAACAGGGCGACAAGCAGCCCAACAGGGCGACAAGCAGCCCAACAGGGCGACAAGCAGCCCAACAGGGCGACAAGCAGCCCAACAGGGCGACAAGTAGCCCAACAGGGCGACAAGGACGAGGAGCCGACAGACGTTCCAATAATGCAGGAAGTAGCGAAAAACCTTCCCGTACCCTCGAGAACACAGAAGCCAACACTAGTCCCGAAGGCACACGAAGGCGCAGGCGCACCCGAGATCAGAAGTCACGCAGAACCCCATCGAACGGGGAAACATGACGAAAACACCGTCCCAAAAAGGGGTGGGAGGAAACATCCACCCACAGGATGGAACCAACCGACTCAAAGGCCAAGGAACCGAGCCCGGGGAGAGGCCGATGCCCAACAGCACGTACGGCGAGTGGGGAGGAAAAACCCCACTCCGCGTAACCACAAGCCCCGCCTAGAGGGGGATAAAAAAAAACCCACGAGGTCCAACGGGGCCAAGGCCCCCCAAGTCAGCCCCTTCCCAGCCCTGGGAACCTACATGACAGGCCCCGGGGCCGAGCCGTTCCCCCAAAGCCCCGGCCGTACCAGAAAACCGGGGCAGCCGTGAAAACACTAATGAAGGGAGCCCACTGGCAGACTCGTACAACACGGCTGGAGGAACAGGCTCAAACGCCCCCGTCACTATCCCGGAAGGGGAATACCCCGAGACTGCCCGAGTCTCAACACCATCAAAAACCCCGCCCCGAACCTACAGACGGTAAGGAACCGGATGCAGGCAGGAAGGGTGATCCAGGGAAAAGACAAGGGGGCGCGGATGGAACCGAAGCAACCAACACCCCCAAGTCCCAAAACGAACTACAACGGGGCAGCCCCGGGGCTCCCGGGGAGGAAACCACGAGAACGTTGCCACCACCAAGGCTCAAGTGCAACGCCCCTGCTGCCCGCACCCGCTTTGTTAGCACAACTGGGTAACCGAGCCACAACGAGCAACCAAACTCGCAGGACTCCGGGTCGAAGGTGTCACCGACCCCACAGGCAGCAGACGGAGGCAAAACAGAGAGTCACCCAGAGACAAAGGGTGAGAGCAACCCACAAACTCGCTGGAAGCGAGGGGGGGACTCTGGGGTCACATCCATCGGACCCACGCGCCCCCAGGGGTTTCCCAGGGTCCCAAGCGTTTACTATAAGAGGACTCGCGCTCAGGTAATCCCAGGCAGGGTACTGCTAACCGGCACCCACCCGCCAAACACACACCGAAACTACGACGTTGGGACAACGTTCGAACAAGTTTTAACACCTCCTAACCAGTTATAACAACCAATATAACAAGTTGTAACAACGTTCTAATACGTCATAAACACGTTAAGCCAAGATGTAACAACTTTTTTACAAGTTGTAACAAGCGGAACATAGAGACAGTATAGGTTTGTGTTTGCAGGGCAAAGCTACCAAACAACTTTCTAAGAGCTGAACCCCCGGGACGTGTACACTCACGGGGACCTAGCAGGGGTACCACCAGAAAATACTCAGAACAGAAGGGACACAAGGGGCAAGAACGAAGGCAGACCCCCCCCCCACCAGGTAGATAAACAAAAAGAAAAAGAAAACCCCGCAAGAGGACAGCGTACCCAAGCAGAACAGAGCCGGCCGCTATGATTGGTAAAGACAAGCTGCACAGTACCCTGCGCCCCACCAGTGCAAAAACTGCCCCTTACTCTAAGGCGAACAAGGGAGACAGAACACCCGAGCACACAAAGAGCGGCCGAAAACCAAGCAGTAAACGGCCAAGCAGGGGCAAGACCCAAGGAACTTGTGGAAGGTGGCCCCAAGCCCCAAGGGCAGTACTTACAGGGCACCTAGGGATGGGAACCCTAGGCGCATGCAACCCGAGTACTGAAGAATCACTCCCGGCTCACCCACCACCTAGAAAACAGACACCACACTCTAGGTACAGTGCTGAAACAACCACTGGAGCCGGAGCACATAACCATTGCCTATACCATCAGCCGAAGAACTGATGGGTGGATAGCCGGCGTGGGAGGTCTGGGGCTCCCCCTTCCCCCTCCCGGGGAGGGGGGAGCTGCGCAGACAGTGGCGCGGTGACGTATGACGTCATACTAGTTTCCTTGTTTTCTGTTGAAGAGTTCTATCCACTAGTTTGGCTTTAGGTAGCAATTTTCACCAGAATAGGGGTTTATTTTGGAATGCTTACCTTTCGGGATGCTTGACCCGGTCGATGGCAGACATAGAATGCTTCCAACCACACGGGGGTTTCTATAGGCCATTGCTCCCCTTGCCTCTCTGAGGGGGCCAGGTTCTGGCTCGTGGTCCCCGGTAGGCCCTAGAACTCCATACACATGACTGATGCCAAAGTCTGACATTAGCATATCAGCCGGTAAAGCTCCGGGGAGCCGACGGGGCTCCCCCCAGAAAACAAGAAAATTCCTGGATTAAACATAAACAGGGTCAATATGCACAAATGTTTACACCAAGCAAGCTTTTAATACATGCACTTACTATATATATACAGTATATGTTAGCTTACAGTACTGTATATATGAAATGCTAATATTTCTTACCTTATAGCAACTGGGTTCACTAGAGTCCTGGGTTCATACAAGTGCTTGACAAAATTCTTGAGAGGCAAACACAAATGGCCTAGTAAGAAGCAATAAGCCACCCACTTGAAAAGGTCTTTGCTATGAGGATATTCTACCTCCACTTCCGAGATCTCCCATGCTGCTGGACCTGTAGTATGGATTAGAATCTGTTTAGAATTCAACACATCCTCCAAAAATGACAGTACATATAGCAACTGGATTATATGTATTAGATATGAATACAAAAGATCAGCATTATATGTAATAAAATGTCAATTTCTGGGTGAACCTCAGTGGCTTCTTGAAGCTACTATATACTGATATGGAAATCTTGTATAAAGTCTTCGTTACTGTCAGGATCTTCTATGACACCATCATTATTAAATTTTTACAGTTACTAATTTCATTCGACTATTTGGAATGGATGGAAGAGTGACCGCCTTGTTTCATTCAGGCAAGTGTTCAATCCCTGACCATTCACAAGTGGTTGGGAACCTATCTTTCCTCCATCCTATCTTAAATCCTTATCCTCATATCCCTTCCAAGTGCTGTATAGTCGTAGCTCAGCACGTTCTCTTGATAATTACTTTAGCTTATATATTTTATCATTATTAAGTAATCTTGTGGGCACAAGCTGTATGGCAGTGCCAAGAGCTGCTGCTGTGTGTGCTACTCATCGTCGCTCTCTTGGTACTGATGCCCTTCACAGCCAGGAGGGGTTACCTACCTTGAGGTTACCTTGAGGTGCTTCTGGGGCTTAGTGTCCCAGCGGCCCGGTCGTTGACCAGGCCTCCTGGTTGCTGGACTGATCAACCAGGCTGTTAGACGCGGCTGCTCGCAGCCTGACGTATGAGTCACAGCCTGGTTGATCAGGTATCCTTTGGAGGTGTTTATCCAGTTCTCTCTTGAACACTGTGAGGGGTCGGCCAGTTATGCCCCTTATTTGTAGTGGAAGCGTGTTGAACAGTCTCGGGCCTCTGATGTTGATAGAGTTCTCTCTCAGAGTACCTGTTGCACCTCTGCTTTTCAATGGGGGTATTCTGCACATCCTGTCATGTCTCCTGGTCTCATGTGATGTTATTTCTGTGTGAAGGTTTGGGACCAGCCCCTCAATTATTTTCCACGTGTAAATTATTATGCATCTCTCCCGCCTACGCTCAAGGGAGTACAGATTTAGGCTCTTTAGTCGGTTCCAGTAATTTAGATGTTTTACTGAGTGGATTCTAGCAGTAAAGGATCTCTGTACGCTCTCCAGGTCAGCAATTTCTCCAGCTTTGAAAGGGGCTGTCATTGTGCAGCAGTACTCCACTCTAGAGAGCACAAGCGTTTTGAAAAGTATCATCATTGGTATATCATCTCTAGTGTGAAAAGTTCTTGTTATCCAACCTGTCATTTTTCTTACAGTTGTGACGGCTACTTTATTGTGTTCTTTAAAGGTAAGGTCTTCCGACATGAGTACACCCAGATCCTTTACATTACCTTTTCGTTCTATGTTATGATTTGCCCGAGTTTTGTATGTGGTTTCCGTTTTTATATTTTCATTTTTTCCATAGCGAATGAGCTGGAACTTATCCTCGTTAAACACCATATTATTTTCTGTAGCCCATAGAAATACCTGATCTACATCTGATTGGAGGTTCGCCGTGTCCTCCATGTTGCCAACTCTCATGAAAATCCTAGTGTCATCTGCAAAGGATGATACAGTGCTATAGGTTATGTTCTTGTCTATGTCCGATATGAGGATGAGAAAAAGTACTGGAGCAAGCACAGTACCCTGGGGGACTGAGCTCTTCACGGTTGATGGGCTGGATTTTATTTTGTTGACTATTACACATTGGGTTCTGTTAGTCAGGAAATTGTAGATCCATCTGCCTATTTTCCCGGTAATTCCTTTTGAACGCATTTTATGTGCAATAACACCATGGTTACATTTATCAAAAGCTTTTGCGAAATCTGTGTAAATTACATCAGCGTTTTGTTTGTCTTCCATAGCATCTAATGCCATATCATAGTGGTCCAGCAACTGCGACAGGCAAGAGCGCCCTGTTCTGAAACCATGTTGTCCGGGGTTATGGAGATGCTGTGATTCCATGTATTGTGTGATCTTACTTCTTAGCACTCTCTCAAAATTTTTTATGATGTGCGATGTTAGTGCTATCGGTCTGTAATTTTTTGCCTCTGCCTTATTTTCTCCTTTATGGAGTGGTGCTATCTCTGCTGTTTTTAGTATGTTAGGAATAACGCCAGTATCTAGGCTTTGTCTCCACAGAATGTGAAGGGCCTGCGATAGTGGTTTTTTTACAGTTCTTGATGAATATAGAGTTCCAAGAATCCGGGCCTGGTGCAGAGTGCATAGGCATACTGTTTATGACTTCTTCAAAATCTAGTGGGGATAGGGCAACGTCTGATATACGATTTGATGTTGGTATCATATCCATGAAAAATTCATTTCGGTTATCAATCTTTAGTGCGTTTAATGGCTCGCTGAAAACAGAGTCGTACTGCTTCCTCAGTAACTCGCTCATTTCTTTGTTGTCATCAGTGAAAGTTCCATCTCCCTTTCGCAGGGGCCCGATACTAGATGTGGTTTTTTATCTTGATTTTGCATAGGAGAAAAAATATTTCGGATTTCTCTCTATTTCATTGATGGCCTTTTGCTCTCTTTGCCTCTCCTGGGTTTTGTATGATTCTTGTAGCTTGAGTTCAATTGTTTCTCTTTCTCTACCTAACCTTCTTCGCCGTTCTTGAGATAGGGTGCGACTCTCAAGTTGTTCCACGATTCGTTTTCTTCGCCTATATAGGGAACGACGTTCCCGTTCCAATCTGCATCTCTTCCTCTTTTTTTCTTAGGGGTATGCGGTTTGAACATATTTCTAGTGCTACTGAGCTTATTTTTTCCAGGCACTGGTTCAGGTTTGCATTTTCTAGCTATTCTTCCCAGTTTATTTCTGTGAAGTCCTGGTTTATTTGCTCCCAGTTTATCTGTTTATTATTGAAGTTGAATTTGCTGAAATCTCCTCCACCGGGAATCTGGACTGGTTTTGAAGGTCCATTCCCCAAGGTTGTCAGAACTTCAATTAAGTTGTGATCTGAGTAACAGGTATTTGTAATCATAATGTTCCCGATCAATTCATCATTATTAGTGAAAATGAAGTCCAGCGTGTTCTCCTTCCGTGTTGGTTCTACTATTTGCTGGTTTAAGGCAAACCTATCGCACATCCGTAGCAGGTCATTTGCATGTGCCTGTTCATTTAGGCAACTTCCTGGTATTCTTTCTGATATTACTGTATTAGCCAGGTACTTCCATTTCAGGTGCCGTAGGTTGAAGTCTCCAAGCAGGATGATGTTCGGAGCTGGATTTGTGAGGTTTTCCAAGCAGTGCTCTATTTTCATTAGTTGGTCTTTAAACTGCTGAGGGTTTGCCTCCGGTGACTTATATACAAGGACAACAACTACATTTAGGATCTCTATTTTGATTATCAGCACTTCCAACATATCATTTGAGGTGTTTAGCAGCTCAGTACAGATGAGTGTGTCTTTGATGTAGAGGCTGACCCCACCCTGAAGCCGGTGTTTCCTATCACATCTGAAAAGATTGTACTCTGAGATCCATATTTCACCATCAAGGTAGTCTTTTGTGTGAGTTTCCGTTAGGGCTGCAAACGCTGCATTTGCCTCATGAAGGAGACCATCTATAAAGTGAACTTTGTTGGATTTGCGTGGTTTTATAACCTGGATGTTGGCAAATATAAATGATGTTATCGTGTTAGCGGAAGTGCTGGATGCTTTACTTGGTGTTAATATCTGAGGCTCTGGTAAGGAGGCCACTGTGTTTGCGTGACCATGACCATAATCTTTTCCAAATAGGGGGTCTGTTTACAGGAGGCCTGAGACAGTGAATGTGAGCCCACAGGAGTTTTAAATCTTTCACTAGACCTAAAATCAGCCCTGGTTGATGTGCACATCACTAATGAAATGACCCCTGGTTGATATGCACTAGTGAAAGGTTAAACAACTGAATTTTACCTCTGGAGGCATCCAAATGGAATAGTTCAGGACCAGTCTATTTTTTACTTGTGACTAATGAAAATATTTTTCTCAAAAACTGCCCCCTTAACCCACCCTCCTTTTTTTTCCCCTCGTTTTTATTACCAAATGTGGCTGTTCGGTGGCAGACAATCTGATCTCTTTCAGCATCGTAGCGAGGCTCAGGAGACTCCAAAGGTGGTGAAAAGTTGCAAATGCTTGGGGCAAAGACTGCCAACCATTCTTGTTCAATAGCCGTCACATCTGAAAGTAAAACAATGCAAGTAAAGATGCGAATGCCTCTGACTCTTAAAGAACATGAGGAGTGTAATAAAATTATGAGATATACGTGAAATTTTGAACAGTTAATATTGATTAACAAAATATAACATATGAAAACTATCCAAACAAAGAAATCATCTATTCTTTATGGAAGATAAAATAAACAATAAAAAAATTAAATGGAAAATTAAATAAACAATCAATGAATTAAATGGAAAATTAAATAAAAATCAAGGAATTTGTAATGAGTAAACATTATACTCGCTCCATCTCTAATTACCTTAATGACAAACTCATTAGCACTAATTACATAAGTTATAATCTTATCCCTAATTACAGGTAATACTTTTCCATCCTTTTCAACCTATTAGAGGATGATGAGATAAGGTGTAGTCCAATCATATAAGCAGCCCAGAAGTGATTAATGATAAGTACAATTTCTACAGTGATTCAGTTAACTTCGATACAAACGTTTAGGAGTTACCACACCTCTTCAACCTCAAGAATGTAGCACTCGGCGAGTATAGTTCTAATTGACCCCAAGACGCTACAGCTTCGACACAGAGCAAACAGCAGACTACGACCGCATCGAGCTACAATGCTCTCGTTCCCCATCGAGTTTAGACACTCACGATTCCCCATCGAGCCGCCACGCTCCCCCACATAGAGTTCCGCGACTCCAGCCTCACTCGGCTCTCTGCTCTGCTCCAAGCTCCGTCTCAATGCCTATGACACTTCCATAACCAAGACTACTAATTAAATATGAAAACCCACTTAACACTTTGTATCTAATCCACCCAACAGCGTAACATAATTGTACGTTACAAATTAAAGAAAAAGTCTTTTCATTATTAATTAACACTTTATGCGGATCAGGACATAACCTGGAGTCCTGTTTCGCCTACCCGCTTCCGCAATGTGGACATAAAATGATGTCCTGAAAAAAATATTTGTATAAAATTCAATTTTAATCCGATTTACTTTGGGTTTGTTTCAAACTGCGCGCCATGAGGCTCTCTTTCTCACCACTAGGCTGCATGGTACAATAAGTTCATGAAAGGTGTGAACCACTTCGATCAAATGGTATTACCATTTTACCAGGAAAACTCACAAGTGGACCAAAAAGATAACGTTTTATTTCCTGCAAATGGCTTTGCATAATGCCTTTGTTTTGTACAAATACAACACAACTGATCAAAAAAAGCTAACATTGCTACAGTTCCACGAGGTGGCAATTTGGGCCCTATTACGCTGGGACCCAGAAAATTGGCCTCAAACAGCAACAGTATCTCAACACTTGCGGCACGCTCCAGACATTATTGATGACACAGGTCCTGCCTATGCTGACGCCATGCAAACTCCCGGACCATCTGGTGTGAGGCGGCCCTTGTTCACTTCAACACCTCAAGCTGAAGCAGCAACCGAATCAGAACCCGAGATGTCTGGCACACTGCCATTTGACGAGACGGTTTTGTCAGATGACTCTGACTCAAATGTTGAACCTCCAGCGATTCAGTTGATTCTGAAAATCGCATGAACTACAAACTGAAACGAGTATTTTGATGCCAGAATGAACACTGTATCACATAAACTGCCGTAAGTAGACTCGAACTTTCATAGATTTTTTTTTGGGTGTAGCGTGTCTGCATGAGTGTACCAAACGGGTTGCAGGTGGGTGACTTTAGCCGTTTATACTGGTAATGCTTCCCCCATATCATGTATTATATACATATGTCTGTTTAGGGAATTTTATTCCGATCAATGTACAATTAAAAATAACTGTGTGCAACAAGTATAAACTTGAGAAACATAACAACAATAAAAACATTTCGTGTGTGTTTGACGCTCACTGATATGTTCCAGCGTTGTTTTATATTTTGCGCTATTCTATCTTATGCTTTGTTGATCTTTTTTACCTACGGGCTCATAGAACATTCTATTGCGAACACATTGGCACAAAAATGAATGACGTACATAGAATAATAATGTCAGGACAGTGAAATAAGTATAAACTTTCAAAGCGCCGTATCGCACATGTGTCGTCGCGTCACCGATACCGGGTAATACTTCCCACACTCTTGCGGGTGGGCCGCGACCATTATTCTACGTTTATATTCATATCACCGTGTTGGGAATTTCATTGTAAGTCCATTGATACCAAAATTAATGCTGTAGGACAAGTGTGGAGGTGATAACAATCCCAAGAGTAAAAACATTTTGTTGCTGTTGGGCGCTCACGGCGAGTCATCTACGTAGTTATTTATTTGGTGCTGGCATCCCTATACCTTTTGTGACCTTTTTTTACTGGTGTTCTTCTAGAGAATTTTATTGCGAACACGTTGGTACCAAAATGAAATACGTAGCTCGAGAACTAAGGTCAGGAGAGTAAAAAGAGTATACACATTTTTGTTTTGATGCTTAAGCGACAAAAACGCCGCGCGCACATACCGTTTTTTTTTTTTTAACCTTAGCCGGGCGCGCGAAAGTGTTAAATTAGAAGACGAGTCTGAAAAGGTTTGAGGACCAGAAAGAAGCTTATCTATCTATATTTGAGGCACTGTTCCCTCTGAAAGGGTCCCCTTAATTAACAACTAAGAATGCTATTTAAGAATCTAATCAAGGAGGGTTTCCAGTCAATAAACACTGCCTACCTGAGGCCACTACTTCAGTATGGAGCTCCAGCATAGAACCCACACCATGTGAAGCATATATAGAAAGTTGAGAAAGTTCAAAGGTTTGCAACTAGATTAGTACCAAAATTGAGACTTCAGCTATAAGGACAGATTGAAAGAACTCAGCCTCACAACCTTGGAGGAGAGAAGAAACAGAGCGATATGATAACTACATACAAGATCTTGAGGAGGGAATATAAATGGATAAAGGAAGCCTATTTAAATTAAAACGAGGTAGAACAAGGAGACATCAGTAGAAACTGGACATGCAATTCAGTCGAAGAGATGTAAAGAAGTTTTCATTCTCTGTATGGATGGTAGGCAAGTGGAATGCACTGAAGGAAGAAGTTGTTGAAATCAATTTCATCTACAACTTAAAAAGATATATGATGAAAACATTAATGTCGAGAGGGGTAATTAGCATGTCAAATATGAATGGCTAGGAGATGGGGCATAAAGAGCCAAAACTCACTCCCTTGTTAGTCACTGATAAGTAATCACTGATAGGGAAGCACTTCTGGAGGTGACTGAAGATCGGGTTTTGACAAGCATGCTCAATCAGATTCATGGCAGAAATGTGATTGCAATAGTTTTTTATGGGACTCAGAGAAGAGGCAATAATGCTGTTGTGTTGGTGGCTTTCCAGAGTGCGGATCAGTCCTTTCATCTTCTGTGGAGCAGTGGAATAGATAACCTCAGGAGGATTGTAATCATCATCAAGGCTGTTCATGTTCCCGATTCCCCTTTTCATTATAAGTCTTATTAGTGGGAAACACCTGGGTGCCTTCTGGCAGCTGTGGACCCAGGATGCTTCAAGACCCAGGATGGTCTTCAGTTAAGTTACAGAGTCTTTCCAGGACTTTGTTACCTGTTCTTCCTGTGTTTTGGGATACTGTCTCCAAACCCCAGCTCAAACTAGATTTCTCTTCAAAATAAAACATTCAGTATAACCACTATGTCCTCGGCTCACCAGGTAGTATCAAGGCAGCCTTGATTCACTTCCTTGGACTTGTTGGATGCCCAGTGAACAATCTCCCTCAACCATTTATTCAAGTATTGGCTGGGGGTTCCAAGAAGGACATCCCTAGATTACAACTTTCTGCAATAGCCCTTTATAAATTATTTTATTACTTCACAGAAGATAATCTTACTACACAATAAAAATTACCTTCAAAACATACTTACTCCTCATGAACATTTTGTTGGTCTCATAGACATCTTGATAAACAACCCATTGAGGCATGTCAACTCGGGCTACTGATGATCGTGGCAAGAATACAGGCTCTTCCATGTCTTGTGTTCTGATGAAAACAATGAGATGTACAATTTTGTATGAAAACAATACAAAACATCAGCAAATAGTAGAGTCAACCAGAAAGCTCCCTAAATCTTATTTTTACAGAGATGAACTGATTAAGGACATAATGATTACAATTACATGTTACTCAGAACACAACCTAACTGAAGTTCAGACATGCATGGGTAATAGGCCAGTGCAACCAGTCTCAAATTCAAGGGAAGGAGAATTCAGTAAATTCAATTTTAATAACAAATGGATTAAAGTTAAAAAAAAAAAAAAAAAGTGACAGGGAACCACTGGGGCACCTCAATAAATTGGCATTTCATTACATTCATTGATGAGTTCATGATGCTTCCTGAAGTTAATTAACCACAGAGAACAACAAAGGGACTTTACCAGGATGGGGGAGAGGAAGCAGGAACTAATATGAAGAAGAGACACCATGCAGGCGACACAAGGCCCAAAGCCATAGAAGACCAACTGGGCCCAGGAAGATTGACCGTACACAAGGCCGCATCAACTTCTTAGGACAGTCTCTGTGACGTAGTGGTAAGACGCTCGCCTGGCATTCCGCGAGTGCTTTGGGGAGGATTTATTGGGTGCAAATCCTTAACTGTAGCCTCTGTTTAACTCAACAGTAAAATGGGTACCTGGTTGTAAAAAACAATCTTCATGGGGGGGTTGGAGGGGGTCGTATTCCAGGAACATAGGATTAAGGACTTGCCCGAAACGCTACGCGTACTAGTGGCTGTACAAGAATGTACCAACTCTTGTATATATTACACACAGAAATCACAATAATGTAATGCACCAAATGAACAAATCCACAAGGGCCGCGACGAGGATTCGAACCTGCGTCCGAGATGTCGTAGCTCAGTCGATTAAGGCAGTGTCTGGGATACTCACGGACGCAGGTTCGAATCCTCATCACGGCCCTTATGGATTTGTTCTCTTGTATATATAAAAAAAAAAGGAGCCAAAATATCAACCAAGGACATATTAGAGAAGTTGGCAGCAAAAGCTATTTAACACTTTCGCGCATTTGAGGATTTCTAGGTCGCCACCAAATTTTCTTACGTTTCCGCATAACAGACTACGTGTGTAGTCCGGCGAAAAAATATTTGTATAAATTCCATTTATTTTCCGATCAACTTGGGAATAGTTTACAAATGTTTGCCATGAAATATACGTTTTTTGTAATAGCCGAACAGCTTATTAAAGAGAACAGCGTGGCAGTGAATCATCGTGGTAAAACAATTGTATTATTGACACGACGAGTATAATCGAAGTAGTTTTTATATATGTTGCCGGTCGAACGCATCCTTATGTGACCTTTAATACTTATGTTCTTATAGAACATTCTATTGCGAACACATTGGAACAAAAATGAAATACATACATCGAAAAATAATGTCAGGACAGTGAATTGAATATACACTTTTCAAAGCGAGTTTCGCTGATATGCCGCCGCGGGTAACACTTCGGCCACTTCCCACACTGTTTTGGGTGAGCTACAACATTGAATCTATATATATATGCATATGTCCGTGCAGAGAATTTTATTGCGATTCCAATGATACCACAATTAGCAATGTAGGACAACTGTAGGCTTCGCAACCATTAAGAGAGTGGAAACATTTTGTTGCTGTTTGGTGCTCTCGGCGAGTGATCTGAATAGTTTTTTATTTGGTGTTGATAGTCCTTATGCTTTTGCGGCATTTTATAGGTATGTTCTTATAGACAATTTTATTGCGAACACAGTGATACCAAATTTAAATGTGCGCGCCTTCAATTATTGTCAGGACAGTCAAAAAAGTGTACACTTTTTCGGTCTTACCGCATAGGCGCGCGAAACGCCGAAAGCACATACGATAAGATTTTTTCAGAACGCAGTTTGTGCGAAAGTGTTAAGAACATCATGGGCCCAACATGATGTTCTAGCCAGTTCTGAAGTCAGAACTGGCTAGAACTGGCTCTTCTAGCCAGCCTGCGGTCAGGCCTTGCAGACCTGACCGCAGGCTGGCTAGACTTCATGTTACTGCGGACAACCTGAGAAAAGCGAGCCTTGGAACAGGAAACTAAGGAAATGGGATCAACCAACAAGACATCCAGAAAGATAGAGCTGGTGGCATGCAGGCAGCGATGAAGAGCTGCCATGGGACACAAATGATGAATCACTGTCTAAACCAATCAAACATCAATCACCAAAGGACCCTTTCGGAAGCTCACCAACCCATTCTTCACCAGAAAAGAAGAAGACTGCTGCAAACGAACCACCCACCTGGGCCAAAAGAGCAAAGCTCCTGCCTCCAGAGAAAAGCCTGAAGCTTCCCAACCCAACAGCCTGAGGCAAGAGCCAGCAAGAAAACCTTCTTAAGAAAAGCATTATGAGCCAAAGGGAACACCATAAATGGAAGCGAGGAAAGGAAGGCAGTCAAGGGACCAGGATGGCTCAAGAGGAGTATGAGAAGATTGGAGGTGAATGAACACACAAGAACTTGCAGGACGGTGCCACACAGGTGTTTAGACCCAACACAAGCAATAGTGGCCCCACCAACGCCAAACGATAAGAGGTGACAGTGTGAGGCATGAGTTGCCAATTCAGAAATAACTAAGACAAAAGACCAGCGTTGAGCGCCACCCTTACTATCTCCAATTTATTTAGATGATGCATAGATGAATCGTTTTCTGCATTCAGTGATGATGCATCTGATACCAGTAGCATAAATGAACAGTGTTAACGGCTTCCTTGGTGGTGTTTTCCATAGATATTTTCAAGAATCACTGAATCTTTTCTTGACTGATGGACACTCTCTGAGGCTAGCTGAATCTCTTCCTGTGTAGGACCTTACAAAGCGATCTTTTCACGACTACTGTACCTTACAAATTGATCTTTTCCTGTAATCTTTTCAACACTACCTTATGTTTTACAAGCTTGGCTACAAACCACCTACAAGTACTAATGTGAAGGGTGTACGTGAGTGCATTATTTGCAAGCACACAGCACGAAGAAACAGGAAGCGAAAATCTATCTGTACTGGTGCAACGAGAGCGAAGTCGCGCTGTGTACCATGGACTACTTTGTTGATTATTACTCACTTCTGAAATACTGAGTGTGTGATACAGTGTGTTACTGTGTAAATAGTGTGTGAAACTGTACATACTGTATTGTAATTTTAGTGAATTTTGAACAAGTAATATTGCGACAATAAACATTTATTGTGGACACATTACTGACACATGTATCACAGTTCCCTGGAACAATATGAACATTCTACTGTGTACATATTGTAAAGGACACAAATATGCATCATATACAAAAAAAAACCAGCGTTGAATGTAATGAAACGCCATTTTCTGGGTGAGTCCCGGAGGCTCCCCAGAGCTATCCATGGCTGATATGGATACCCTAACTATTTTGCATCAGTCGATGTGGGTGGAGTTCTAGGCCTACCCGGGACCACGAGCCAGAACCTGGCCCCCTCAGAGAGGCACGGGGAGCAATGGCCCATAGAAATGCACATGTGATTTGGAGCATTCTATATCTGCCATCGACCGGGACAGGCACCCAGAAAGGTAAGCGCCACAAAACAAACCCCTATTCTGGTTAAACAACAAAATCGACAAACGAGTGGATAGAACTCCCCCCAGGAAAACAAACTAACAAGCATGACGTCACGCAAGCCGCGCCGCATGTCTGTGCAGCTCCCCCCCTCCCCGGGAGGGGGAGCCCCAGACCCCCGCGCCAGCGATCCCCGCCCCAGTTCTGAGGCTGGATATCAAAACCGCGAAAAAACCTGCCGACCAGAGGGTGGGAGGGTGCCGGGGAGCCTCCGGGACTCACCCAGAAAATGGCGTTTCATTACATTCAACGCTGGTTTTCTGGGGGGAGCCCCTACGGCTCCCCGGAGCTACCTCACCAAAGACTACCTAAGAAACAAGGGGACATACCCGGGAGGCGGTCGGAGAATCACTCCACAACACGAAGTCGAGACAACAACCCAAGGTATATCAATCGCCAGAAAAAAGGGAGAACAGCCGCAGACGAAGAAAACCTATGATCACGACCATAGGAGCCAAAAACCACTGCGCCTGAGAAGAGCAAGAAGCTCTGCCACACGACCCCCAGAGGCGAATGCCAACACAAAAAGAAAACCGAGGCAAAGCAAACCTGACCCCAAGGAGCCACAACCACCAAGGAGAAGAAAAACAGGAGAGCACCCTGTCCAAAGACCAGGACGACACAGGCAGTGCATAAGCAGGCCGGAGGTGTAACAACGCACGATACAACCTGCGAAACGGCGCAGAAGGAATATCGATACCGAAAGCTAGCAGCAGAAACCAAGGTGCCAGACCCAGGAACGGCCCCAAGCGCCTCTACATCCTCCGCAAGCCAATCCTATGACAGCCCCAGGAGGGAAAAGAAAGCGCAGGACCAAAACGAAAATGCCACAAGTGTGCAAAACCACCTCCACAAGTGCAGCGGACAGGGAAGGAACTCGCATAAGGAGCCGCCCCGCACCAACATCTCGCAGAAGGGCAGGAGCGAAAAGACTCATTAGGAGGAGCAAAATCGCTCCCAGGAAAACTAGTAGCGCCGAGACAGTGTGAAGAGAAGAGATATTCACAAAAGAACAAAAAGGCCAACACCCAGAAGCTGCTGGGAAGAGGACCCACAAGCCCTAGAAAGGACCGGAGGGAAGCTCAACCGAATGACGACAGACGCACCAGAAAACGGGAAGAAGCAAAACAGTCCCGAACCTTCGAGAACAAAAAGAAGCAAACACAAAGGACGAAGGCCCCAAAACTTCGTCGCACCCGAGACCAAAAGTCATGCAGAAACCCCAAGAAGAGGGGAACATGACGGAAGAAGGCCCGTCCGGGAAAAAGGGGTGAAGATCGTAGAAAAGCACCCACCAACAGGAAGGAAACAACGGGTACAACGGATAAGGAAACCAAGCCCAGAGAGGGGCCGACGCCCACAAAGCACGTGCGGAGAGG